ATAAGATGCGTCTTTTTCGCTCCATAATTCAACGTTGCACTTTTAATACTTCATTCAAACTGAAACGAAAATCTCTCCACCTTATATAATCATCATGTGCATTTTTCCATCAAATCCCAGTTTACACGAAAGACTCTACATGGTTACCATAATCTTGTTTCCTGCGATTCTTATCTAACTAACATCACATCCTCCTATACGTCTGCAACATATATATTCACATCGTGCTTAAGCTGACAGACCATATTAGATGCCCGATCGTCGTGCATCTTGTTTCATCTTCCATCGCCGCTTCTCCTCTCGGATCGAGAAGGCAGCTCCGCCAGACGGTGTTTCCATCGTTCCCGTCCTGTGACACAGTCTGAACTTCGGCAAAAGACTAATAAGGTCTGGAATAGACTCCTTTCACACATTTGGATCAGATTAATCTAGGCCGTCCCGTGGTCCTTTTACCCTTCTGACTCACAGGAAATAGTTGCTTAGCCTTCCTTTCTGGAGGCATTCGCAACGCACTGCCAAACCATCGCAGCTATAACTTCTCAAACTGGAGAACCAAAGGCTGTATACCAAGGCTCTACCGCATGTCACTATTCCGCACCATGTCGAGACTCGTAACGCCAGCGACTCGTCTAAGAAAGCACATTTCACCAGCAAGTACCCAGGTTCGAAGCTTTGCAGTGCTGGTCCACGATTCATGACCGTAGGAAAGTATGGCGATAAAGATCGATTTCAACACCCAGAGCTCAGTTTCCAGACTCACCTCTGCTTTAGTCACAATGGGTCGAACTAGTTCAGGCAGAACGCGCAGTGGTCACTCCAATTCGCCGGTCGATCTCTACCTACAATTTTCCATCACTAGTAAATACAATTCCGAGGTACCTGAACTTCTCCACTGCTTCTCCGTTAATCTGAAGAGAGCAACGGGCAGGAGAACGAGAAAGCACTATGCTTTTCGTTTCAGATGCGTTCACACGCATGACGGACACGTCGCACTCGGCTACCAGCCTTTCTAGGGAGCACTGAAAATCAGTTTCACATTACGCTAATAAAACAAGCTCGTCTGCAAACAGCAACATTCTCGACTTCACATCTCCTATACCGATACCCTCATCGCCTTGGCAGCTCCTGACTTTTCAATCCATGCACAACACAAACAGGATAAGGGACAGGACGAAGCCTTGGCGGAGACCGGTGCGAACGTTGAATGGTTTCGACTTAATGCCATTAACTCTGACGCAGCACCTGCTATCAGAATACAGTGATTGGGTTATGCTTAGCAGCTGGCCAACTATCCCGTATGCTCGAAAGCATGACTACAGACTGTTGCGTGGGATCCCGTCATGGGCTTTTTCTAGGTCAACAAAACATGTACACCGGATGGGCGTACTCCCACGATTTCTTAACAATCTGGCGCAGGGCAAATATAATTTCGGAGGCGCTTCGACCGGGTCGGAAGCCACGCGGCTCTTCTTGCATCTTCAGGTCATCTATTTCGCGGCACCTCTTTTCTAGCACCTTTGCACAGACTTTACCTCGAAGGCTCAACATAATGCCCCCATAAATATAGCATTCCTATTGGTCTCCCTTCTTGAATATGGCTACAATGGCTACCGTTGTCCAGCCCTCTGCTGTCATTCGCCCAGTCATCGCAGTTTGAGACACACCTTTCAGCCAGCACATGCCTTGTTCGCCAACTGCTTTGAGCACTTGAAGGCGGATTTCCTCAATTTCAGCAGCCTTTCCATTTTTCAACCCTTTCAAAGCTTGTGCAATTTCATGTACAGAGATAGAAATATCCGTACCCTTTTGCTCTACAGGCGAGTCTGCGGATGCGCTGGGTTAAAGAGTTCCTCAAAGTACTCCTTCCATCGCCGAAGAATGTCATCATCCTTGGTAAGAGGGTGTCCAGATCTGCCTTTCAAGGCTGTGAGACTGCCCGTCTTTTCACCTCGGAGCCGGCGGAAGGTCTGCCAGAATGCTTTGTTTGCCGTGTGAAATTCGACTCCAACACCTCACCGAACTTCTCCCAGGAATCAGCCTTGGCTTTTGCCACTGCTACGGCT